CCCAGGGAATCTGGAGAATGAAGCCAAGTGGAGGTTAGCAGGGCCAAATGATGGAGAACATTTTAACTTTGAACCCCCGAATCCACCTAGGCCCAAGTTTCCCGGTATGATGCGACTCCCAGATCCCCTTTTCTTGGCATACAAAAATCTAACTTGAATTTCCATCATTTTTAACTGAAAGAGTTCTGACACATTTTCTAGTACAGAGTTGGTGCTCATTAAATGTTGATTAAATGAATGAATGAAAAGACAGACCAGCTCTTAGCATGCACACTAAACCTATGGCTTCTCAGCCTGGAAGGCTGGCAACAGACACCAGAGTGTGGAAAGTTCTCCAAAGGAATAAATGCCACCCCCCATGAGGTCTGTTGGGCAGACCACCAGCCAGACAGCTTCTTTACTACACTCGCATCTGTCTTGGCCGTTTCCATTAGAAACCCCTGAGACATGTGCCTCCCTTGACAGTCTGCCAATATCTCACGTCTTTGCTTTAATCATCCCCAGCACCAACCAGTGACCACCATACTGGCATTCAATAGCTATTCCCTGAAGGAAACATGCTGACCACAACATTGATTGCTAAAATGCAGAATCTAAAATTAAAAAAAAAAAGTGAGGTAAAACAAGGCTAACTGAGGAAAAACAGAGATGTCACTTCGTATCTAAAAGCATCATCTTTGAAATAGGCATCCAGGAACTTAGGTATTCCCCTGACCACCCTAGAAAACATAATAAAAAGATACCTTATAGAATCAGAGTTTGGGGCTGGAAGTGGCCTGCATTTTTTTTTAAATATATTTTATTGATTTTTTACAGAGAGGAAGGGAGAGGGATAGAGAGTTAGAAACATCGATGAGAGAGAAACATCGATCAGCTGCCTCCTGCACACCCCGTACTGGGGATGTGCCTGCAACCAAGGTACATGCCCTTGACCGGAATCGAACCTGGGACCTTTCAGTCCGCAGGCCGACGCTCTATCCACTGAGCCAAACCAGTTTCAGCATCCTGCATTTGGTTTAGTCTTTTGCCAGAGTGAAGACTGAGTAAGACACAAAATAGTTAAGGAATTGTCCAGGACTCAGTTCATGGCCATCCTTGGGGCAGAGGCTGAAAATTCGGGGTTTCTGACAATCCCAAATCATTGTGTGAACCAATCGCCATAGGCCAGACAAAAGAAGGTCTGACCTCAGACACCTGAATGGGCTGTTGTAATATCATGCTGTTAAACACCATCCTGCACCTCTGACTATGAGAAAGCTTGTGACCTTAAAGGCACACACTCTAACATCTCAGAGGGAAATTACTAATCATTTGCACATGCATGCTGAAGTTCAATTATGTGCCATTTAGACCCAAAGTTTGATAGAGAAGTCTATGTGCTAACAATGGGAGGGGCTGTCTTCACCAAATTTGGTTTTTTTGTTTTGCTACAGATTCCAAGTTTTAAAGGAAGACTTTGCAGAACAAATCCTCTTTCCAATTTTTTTTTTATTTTTTCAACTAATGGTTTTCTTAGTCTAATAAATTTTTAAAGAACAGTTTTAGGTTCACAGCAAAATTAATCAGAATACACAGAGATTTGCCATATACCTCCACTCATGCGTAGCCTCCCTCATTATCAACATCCTCCATCGGAGCAGTACATTTGTTACAGCCCATGAACCTACAATGGCACATCATAATTACCCAAAGTTCATGGTTAACATTAGGACTCACACTTGGTGTTTTGAATTCCATGGGTTTGCCCGAATGTACTAGTATACTGGTAATGACAAGTGCCCGCCAGTGCAGTATAATACAGAGTAGTTTCACTGCCCTAAAAGTCCTCTATGCTCCACCTATTCATCCTTCCCCCCTCCCACCCTGCCCCTGGCAGCCACTTATCCTTTGAACTGCCAACACAGTTTTGCCTTTTCTAGAACGTCTTATAGTTGGAATCATACAGCATGTAGCCTTTTTGGATTGTCTTCTTTCACTTAGTAACATGCATTCAAATTTTTTCCATTTCTTTTCATGATGTGATAGTTAATTTCTTCTTCAGTATCGAATAAGATTTGCCACGAGTACATTTTCTTTGGTGAGGTGTCTCTTAAGGTTTTTGGTCCATTTTTAAATCAGGTTGTTCTTGTTATTATTGTTAAGAGTGCTTTGTATATTTTGAGTAACAGTACTTTATCAGATGTTTATTTTGCAACTATTTTTTCCTATTCTGTGGTCTGTTTTTTTCCCCTCTCATTCTCTTGACAGTGTCCTTTGCAGAGCAGAAAGTTTTTATTTTAATGAAGTCCAGCTTATTCTTTCTTTCATGGATCATGCCTTTGGTTTTATATCTGTGGCCCATTTTAAGTTAATTTTTGTATTTTTGTGAAGGTTGTGGGGTCTGGGTCTATATTCTTTTTTGTTGTTGTTGTTGCATGTGGATGTCCAGTTGTTCCAGTATCATTTATTTATTTTTTTTAATATATTTTATTGATTTTTTACAGAGAGGAAGGGAGAGAGACAGAGAGTTAGAAACATAAATGAGAGAGAAACATCGATCAGCTGCCTCCTGCACATCACCCACTGGGGATGTGACCGCAACCCAGGTACATGCCCTTGACCGGAATCGAACCTGGGACCTCTCAGTCCACAGACCGACGCTCTATCCACTGAGCCAAACCGGTTTCGGCTCCAGTATCATTTATTGAAAAAACTTTTTTTTTTGCTCCATTGTATTGCCTTTGCTCCTTTGTCAAAAAATCAGTTGATTGTATTCATCAGGATCTATTTCTGGGCATTCTAATCTGTTCCATTGATTTGTTTGTTTGCTTGTTTTTGCCAAAACTACAATGTCTAAGTTACTGTAGCTTTAAAGTCTTAAGTTGGGCTAGAGTGCTAGATTTGGTCTCTGAGAATATCCCTGCAGGTTAGGCTCTGGTTAACTAGTTTTCCCAGAGGTCAGGCCTTGTTAATAAGAGTAAAGTGCTGTAGCATATTTAAAGTGGTTCCTGCCCTAGCCAGTTTGGCTCAGTGAATAGAGCATCAGCCTGCGGACCAAAGAGCCCCAGGTTGGGCTCCAGTCAAGGGCATGTACCTTGGTTGCAGGCTCCTCCCCTGCCTGCGCCCTGGTCGGGACTCATGCAGGAGGCAACCAATCGATGTGTTTCTCTCACATCAATGTTTCTGTCTTTCCACTCTCTCTAAAAATCAATGGAAAAATATCCTCAGGTGAGGACTTAAAAAAAGAAAAAAAAAGGGTTCCTTTTCTCTAGCTCTGGAAACACCTGGGGATTTTTCTGTGATATTTATTGTGGAAATCTGGTCAAGCTTCTGGAGATAAATCTCACAAAATGTGGAGACCCCCATATAACTGGTCTTCCTGGAGTTTTTAATGCTCAGAGTTACCCATGCTGAGCCTCCAGCAATTGGTCAATCACAGTTCTGGTTCCCAAACCCTGGCACTGGTTCCCAAGAGTGGTTTCCCATTGTGAGTCTCTGCTTTGGTAGCTTATCCTTCTCTGTATTCTCTTATTGGTTTCTCCAGTCTTGGGGCAGCCTGTGTCCTCACCTCTCTTCTGGATCCAAGAAGAGTTGTTGATTTTTCAGTCTGTTCAGCTTTTTACTTGTTAGAACAGTGGAGACTTCCAAGCTTCTTACATGCTGGAATGGAAATTAAGTCCTTTTTTTTTAATCAAGACAAGTCACTAGGTTAAAAGTTGAATTTATATCGTGTCTGTAGGTAAACAGAGCTATTTCTAGTGAAGAAAGCCCATATATAAAAGAAAAATGTCAAATATTTAAAAAACAAATCCCCACAATGTTCCTCATCTAGTAGAACAGGCTCCTAAAAGAGAAGCCTTTTCCTAAATCTTTCTGAATGCTGTTAATTTATATTTTTGTTTGGATTTAATAGTGTCTACTTTTCTCTCTATATATTTATTTTTAATATACTTTTATTGATTTCAGAGAGGAAGGGAGAGGGAGAAAGATATAGAAACATCAATGATGACAGAAAATCGTTGATTGGCTATCTCCTGCACACCCCCTACTGGGGATCAAGCCTGCAACCCAGGCAAGTGCCCTGACTGAATCAAACCGTGACCTCCTTGTTCATAGGTCGATGCTCAACCACTGAGCCACGCCTGGCCAGGCTCTCATTTTTAAAAATAAGTCCCCTTGCCAAAATCGGTTTGGCTCAGTGGATAGAGCGTCGGCCTACGGACTGAAGGGTCCCAGGTTCGATTCCGGTCAAGGGCATGTACCTTGGTTGGGGACACATCCCCAGTGGGGAGTGTGCAGGAGGCGGCTGGTCGATGTTTCTCTCTCATCGATGTTTCTAGCTCTCTATCTCTCTCCTTTCCTCTCTGTAAAAAATCAATAAAATATATTTTTTTAAAAAAAAAATAAATAAATAAAAATAAAATAAAAATAAGTCCTGCCCTATCTGGTTTGGCTCAGTGGATAGAGCGTCGGCCTGTGAACTGAGGGGTCCTGGGTTCATTTCCAGTCAAGGGTACATACCTGGGTTGCGGACTCCATCCCCAGTGGGGGGCGTGCAGGAGGCAGCAGATCAATGTTTCTCTCTCATCGATGTTTCTCTCTCATCGATGTTTCTAACCCTTTATCCCACTCCCTTCCTCTCTGTAAACAATCAATAAAATATATTAAGAAAAAAAAAGATGAACCTGAAAAAAAATAAATAAATAAAATAAAATAAAAATAAGTCCTGCTTGAAGGGCTTCCTTTTACATTTCTTTTTTTGGGGGTGGGGGCGGGGGTGACATGTGCCCTGACATGGAATTGAACCAGCAACTTTCAGTGCATGGACAACACCCAACCAACTGAGCCACACCAGCCAGAGCTGCTTACTTTTTCTCATTGCACTACCCCAAAATTTCTTTCCTTACAGTGTCAAACTCATCTACTTAAAGGAGAGACACCCAAATTTTTACTTAAAAAGAGAAAAATTTATTAAAATGTCAATATAAATCTCATGTCATTGAAAAACTACAAATGGGATATATGTTTGCTAATGTTCATTTTAATTTTGTTGCTTAAAACTCCAAATTCCCCCAAATACATTGCGCTACCAATACTTTTAAAGTTCAAAATCGAAATAAAGAGATGCTTTTAATCAATTAACATTATCTTTGTATATATGCCATGCATTGAGAAAATAGGAAATGGGTTATTTTTTATTTAAAAGTGGAAACCTTTGGCTTCAAGCCCGCCATGCAACACTCCCTGGTGACTTCTAGGTCGTGAGCCACGGTGGGCCTCGCCTAGTCACTGCGTATGTGCAGCCAGGTGTGCAATCAGGTCTTTGGCATCTTGCATGGTGGACGGTATCTCTGAGCCATTCTCTGTCACTTGGGTCCCAAACAAGAACATCGTCCTGTTATTTCCCACGTCAGATAATGCCAAAGCTTCGTGGATGTCTGTAATGTGATAGGCTGCTTTAAGATCCTTCAAGAATGAAAGAAATAGAAAAATTTTGGTTATTTTGCATTTATTGCTCTCAATCACCCCACATTCATTTTAATATGGAGGATATTGTGACCCCATTATTATGACCCTAGTGGTTGTTGAATATAAATAATTTCATCAGATTTAAACCCATATTTATGAATTATCATCAAAAATATTTTTTTGGAATAAAGTTAAACCAATATAACACCTTAATCAATGTTCTAAACACTACAGTCAATCTGCTTCTTACTTTTTCTATTTTCCCAGAATTATATTTAATAGGATCAATTATTTTAAATTTATTTTAAAGAGATATTTCATTCATTAACTGTTTTTTGTCCATATCATGTTTTATTAATTATAGCATTTGCCATTGTGAGGTTTCTTTTGTGACCATTATTTCTACTCAGCCAAAAAAAAAAATTGGATCAAATTTTGCAGGGTGAAGGGAGACAGAGAAAGGAGCAGGGAGGGAATGGATTTAGAAAATGAAGTGGTAGGAGAAGGAGGCCGAGAGAAGAGGACAGGTAGAGAGAAAGAGGATAAGATGGAAAGATGGGGAAGGCTTACAGGAGGGAAACCCACAGGGAGAGGCATAAAGAGCAGAGATTCAAATGAGACAGAAAGCCCATACTTCTGCTGCATGGCAAGGTCAAAACCTTCTTTACAATCAAGACAAGACACTAGGTTAAAAGTTGCATTTGTAATTGGCTTTTGTTGTTTCATAGTGTTCTCCTTAAGGTTTAGGGCAGGAGTCCTCAAACTTTTTAAACAGGGGGCCAGTTCACTGTCCCTCAGACCGTTGGAGGGCCGGACTATAGTTTAAAAAAAAAACTATGAACAAATTCCAATGTACACTGCACATATCTTATTATGAAGTAAAAAAACAAAATGGGAACAAATACAATATTTGTATTTGCATGTGGCCCGGGGGCCGTAGTTTGAGGACCCCTGGTTTAGGGGATCATTTAAAAATGTCTGGGAATGATTTAAAGGGCGTTGTTTTGTGTGTTTTTTTCTTGTACCAATATGAACCTATCAGATTCCATCAGTGGGAATCCATGAGGCTTCCTGATGTGCTGTACTTGGTATCTGGCTGGAGTTGAGTACCTCTCTGGATGTCGGTTGTCCCAACAGATTGCCTGTCTGACTCCTGAATTCATTTAGTCTTAGGGCCTGCAGTGACTTTTGTAACAGTGTTAATGGATCCAGTTATATGTGAATGATGTCTCAAGGGAAGAAATTCACTGATGGAATTTGAGAGGAAATAAATAGAAGGATGGTGTTGGATGGAAAGAGGGGCTCCTTGAAATTGTAAAATTCTGGTATGAACATGGGTATGCAAATATCTGTTTGAGTCCCTGCTTTCAATTTTTTTCATTTTCTGGATCATATGGGAATTATACATTTAATTTTTTCAGGAACCTGCCATACTATTTTCCACCAACAATATACAACATTCTATTTCTCCATGGATGCTTAATAATTTTAATGTATGTGTGCGAACATAATTCAGGTCTAATTGATCTAAATTTCTTTTTACATGGTAGACACAAATATTTTGTTGAAATCAACAATCAGCAAATGTTTGTTGAATTAAATTTAACACATATTTGTTAGATTCCTACTGTACCAAGGCAGTATACAAAGTATTATAAGAGACACAAAGATGAATACTAGTCTCTACATTCAAGGTGTTTATAATCCAGTAGATCTAATAAGTATAAATTGAGCTGGCTGTACAGCATATTGTTTAATAGTTACTTGTTAAAAGTAGGTATTTCTGTTTCTTGTGTTAATGATAAAACCATTGAGTACAAATAATATGCGAACAGATTTTTACCTGTTTGTTTGCAAACACAACCAGAGGGATGATGGGGTTTATTTTAATTAGCCGATGAAGGTATTTCTTGGCTTCAGGTAACCTGCTGTGATCTGCTGAGTCCACCACAAAGATCAGCAGCATTCCCCTGGACACATACACTTCCCAATAGGAACGGAAAGGTTCACTGCCACCAACTACAAAGAAGAGCAGGGAAAGACGACACACACAAAAAGTCACAGCCACATTCGCCGAGGGGGTAAGAAAGGCAGTCAGGTAACTTCTGAACTGTGAGAAGTTTTTCATTCTATTGATTATTTCATTCTATTGATTCTTCTCAGAAGAAACTTTTTGGTTAATGACAATGAATTTAGTTTTTATTTTTCTCCTGTGCAGGGGTCCTAATACCACTGGGTTAGAGTGTACCACTTGAGAACCACAGAGAGACGTCACTGGGGAAGGAGTGGGTGGGTGGAGATATTTACCTCCACAAGTGATTCATTCATTCTGGAACATGAAGGTTCTGCATGAAATACTAAATACTACAGTGGATGCCTCCTGCTGTTATACATAGCAGCCACGGCAGCCCCTGCATGTCCATCAGTTACAACTAAAAAAAGAAATGGGAATAAGCTACTAAAATAATTCAGGATGGTGGATTAAAACACATTTCTCTAAAATAATTTCTAAATGGACTAAATGCATTGGGTAGCCTCACTTGCACAATGTTTTCCTTTGTCAAAATCCCAGAACTAATTTCTCTTCTTAATTTTGCACTGAGAGTTAATATAATTCTATGGGCATTCACTAATACTTGCCTCAGAAAAAAAAGTGCCTTTGGATTATTTCATTCTATTGATTCTTCTCAGAAGAAACTTTTTGGTTAATGACAATGAATTTAGTTTTTATTTTTCTCCTAGGACAGGGGTTGGCAAACTATGGCCCACAGTCTAAATCTGGCCTACTCTCTATTTTTGTACAGCCCACAAAGGAAGAATGGATTTTATAGTTTTATTTTTTAAATACATTTTTATTAATTTCAGAGAGGAAGGGAGAGGGAGAGAGAGAGATAGAAATATCAATGATGAGAGAGAATCATTGATCAGCTGCCTCCTGCACACCCCACACTGGGGATCAAGCCTGCAACCTGGGCATGTGCCCTGATGGGGAATTGAATTGTGACTTCCTGGTTCATAGGTTGATGCTCAACCACTGAGCCACGCTGGCTAGGCAATTTTACAGTTTTAAACATTTGAAAGAAAAGAAAGAATACTTTTTCATGACATGTGGACATTATACCACATTTCCATTTCATTGTCTACAAACACAGTTTTTTCAGAATAGACATGTGGATTTGATTCTATATTGTATGTGGCTGCTTTCCCACTAGAACCTCAGAACTGAGTAGTGGCAACAGAGACCAGGTGGCCATCTAGTCCCTATTCGGCCTTTTATAGAAAAAGTTTGCAGACCGCTGTTTTAGGAATCAATAAAAACATTTACAAAAAAACAAAACAAAACATTTACCATACTAATGGGAAAGGGTTTTTATATTCCATTATTTTCCTTTGTATTGAGTCAGTCTTTGAAGTATTTTGTGGTTTTAATTTTTAAAGGATGTTGTATAATCTTCTAAGTTGTTCATATGATTTAAATATATTAAGTTTAAACAAGAATGAACATTTGTGTTCCTCATTTTTTTCTCAATACCGGACATTTTACCTATATAGAGATTTTTATCTTTCAGTTATTAACTGCAACACAGCCAGAGAACATGCTTTGTATGATGCCTCTGATTTGGAAATGTGTTAAGACTTGCTGTACAGCCCAGTGAGCGGTCAATTTTGGTAAAAGTTACATGAGTGTTTGAGAATGTGTATTTTAGCTTTTGGGTGTAGGTAAAATAGACTAATTAGGCAATTTTATGTTGTCCAATAGATCAAACTTGTTGATTAAGTTCAAAGTTTGTGCATCTTTGCAAATTTTTCTCTCCTTAATACTATGAAAAATTGACAAATATGCTGAAATCCCTCACTCCAATTATAGATCTGTCCATTTCTCCCTCTACTTGGGTCCTTCCTTCCTTCCTTCCTTCCTTTCCTCCTTCCTTTTCATTTTTTATATTTTGAAACGATTTTTTTTTTTAGCTATTTATTTGGTCAAAAGAATTATTTCTTCAATAGCTTCTGGGCAAGTTGAACCCTCTATTCCCAATATCATCTTCTTTCTTAAAGATTTGCTTACAGGTTTATCGATTTCTCTGCTCATTTTCTCTTTGTGTCTGGACGATAGCAAAATTAAAAAGGTACTGCAGTAATCTCAGTAGGAGATAATAGAGGTTCCAACTCAAATAAGGGTATTGGGAAAGGCTGTAACTGATGAATTGGAGATTTGTTGTAAAGGTAGAAAAATTCATCGTGTTTTACTGGAGGTGGGGTACAGAAGGAGCAAACAAGGGTGACTCCAGGTTTTCTGTCTTGAGCAACTTGATGGGTCCTGACCAGTGGATTATAAGGAAAGGAACAGATATGGAGATAACTCAAGCATTTTGTTTTGACGTTAGGTTTGAGAGGGCCATCAGACAGCCAGGTGAAATGTCAGGTGACATTTGAATATGTTTGGGGTGAATAGATAAATCTGGGAGTCATCAGCATATACATGGTACCTAATGCCAAGATGGATGGATGAAATCAACCAAGGAAAGAATGTAAAGAGAAGAGGACCTGATGAGACTTTGGGGAATAGCAATATTTAGAGCGGTGGTGACTCCAGAATTACTACAGAGTATAAGCTTCTGGGCTGCCATCTGTTTACAAGAAGAGGTTTGGGGTTTGCCTGCAGTTGGGGTTGTAGAGAAGGAAGCACGCTATATTTACTTAGGTTGCATGTTTACTTGGGGTAGCAAGGGAGGAGGGAGGCTGCTATGCAAGGGGTATAAAGCCTTCCTCTCGACTGCCCTTTATCACCACCACTGTAAACAGGAGATAATAAAAAGAGCAGAAAGTGATGTCCCTCGCAGTGCACTCTAGTATTAAACTACAAACGCTTTCTAAATCTCTAGGAAAATCTGACCCGGTATTACTTTTCACAAGGACCCAACGGTGATAATATTTTATCCTGCTTAAGGTATAACAAAGGAGCTGTCCTGTAACTAATGAGAAAGACGGCTTACTCTCCAGAAACTCCATCTGGCTGTGTTCAGTGCTGATGCACACTTCATTGAAACCTTGGGTGGGTGCCTTGCTGTGCTGGACTCTGTTTAAAGCTAGAGAGTAGAGAACACTGGTCTTTCCTGCTCCATCGAGGCCCAACACTAGGATATGATTATTTTTCTCCTGTGAAACAAAGGATAAATCAATAAACCTATGCCAGCAGGTCCTTGTTTTCCTGGTCCCTGGCAGTGTGCCTGCCTGTGGTAGGACCCAATACTACTTGTGGGATTGTAAACCAGAATGAAACTTCATAAAATATTTAGTAGATCTAGAACAAACTGTACCAGTTTATATTTTACTAGTGGCCCGGTGCACGAAATTCATGTGGGGGGTGGGGGGGAGGGGGGTGTTCCCTCAGCCCAGCCTGCACCCTCTCCAATTGGGGACCACTGGCTCCTAACCGCTCACCTGCCTGCCTGCCTGATCGCCCCCAACTGCCCTCCCCTGCAGGCCTGATCACCCCTAACTGCCTCTGCCTGCCTGCCTGATCGCCCCCCAACTGCCTCTGCCTGCCTGCCTGCCTGATCGCCCCTAACTGCCCTCCCCTGCCGGCCTGATCTCACCCAGTCTCTGTCTCTCCCTGTTTTTCTCAGCAGTCCTCCCTGACTTCCTGCCTCCCTGTCTCCCTCTTCCTCTTTGCCAGCTGGGAGGGGGTGGGGCCAGTGGGGGCCGCTTCACCCTCTGCCCGCCCTCCCTTCCATCCAGGCCTCTTCAGGCCCAGTATGTTTTGTTTCCTCATTCTGAGAGAGGCTCTGAGAGCAAGCTGGGAGGGAGGGAAAGAAAGGGAGAAAAGGCTGTGAGCTGGTAGGCACTGTGTGTGTCTGTGCGTGTGTGCAGTTGTGAGTGTGAGTGCCAGCCCTGCCTCCAAATCCCCGTCTCCACTGCCACAAGTCCCCACTCACCAGAGCCTGCTGCGTGTGCAACCTGGGCATTAGGTCTAGCCTCCAGTCATTGTGGATGTGACTGACACAGGGTTTTTATATATTAGGATAATTAACCATTAGTTATGTGGTGTTAATTGCACATTCCCTCTCCATTCTCCAACTCCTGGTCAATCTATCAAATAAATACTATTTATTTACAAATACAATCTATCAAATAAATATATATGGTATTGCTGTTTGGGATCTTGGTACCTCCATGGTGCCTCCAATATTGACTGTGCTACCCATCATATAAGCATCTAAGGCAGCAGTTCTCAACCTGTGGGTCGCAACCCCTTTGGGGGTCAAACGACCCTTTCATAGGGATCACCTAAGACCATCGGAAGACACATATATAATTACATATTGTTTTGTGATTAATCACTATGCTTTAATTATGTTCAATTTGTAACAATGAAAATACATCCTGCATATCAGATATTTACATTATGATTCATAACAGTAGCAAAATTACAGTTATGAAGTAGCAATGAAAATAATTTTATGGTTGGGGGTCACCACAACATGAGGAACTGTATTAAAGGGTCGCGGCATTAGGAAGGTTGAGAACCACTGATCTAAGGTCTCATTAATCTGTCTTGTCCTTCCAATTGGATTATTAGATTAAAAGCTCTTAAGGCAAGGTTCCCCTCTAATACTTTTAACTATAAATATCATGATTAAATGACAAGGCTAGGATTATAGAAGCTGCTAAATCAGTTCCACTGACAAATGAGCATATATTTTCGAGCCTGATGTTAAAACCTCTTGAAATAGATGTAAACTTTAGAAACATTCCATCAACATACCAGCCTTAGAAGTTTTTATGACAAATGATTGAGGGACAACAGGGCAGGCTGGTATGAAGAAAGAAGTAGAAAGTTCAGAGTGCTCAGAAAGGTGACTTTTACAGTACAAATTTCAATGTAAATAGTAATAAATGAGCAACAATTCAGCCAGACTGTTCACAGAAAATTAAATCTATTTCCCAAGCAGCCTACTAAATAAGTTTCTCATGCACAAAAAATAAACAAAAACCCCACCAGTAAATGTCTTCATTGACACTGTTTTAAAAATAACAATAATCTTATACACTGAACACTAAATGTTGACATTAGATTTAGACTAGATTTCAGGTTGAAAAATAAAAAGATCCCCAACAGCACCAGAATGTCTATCCCACCTATTATTTTATTTTATTTTTTAACTCAAGGCCCAGTGCATGGATTCATGCACATTGAAAGGAAATTAATTAGAAGGTGGCCAGTGGGGCAGGACTGGGCAAGACGGTCTGGATATACCCTGGAGTCAACCTCCTGCTGTCCCTCCCTGGCTGGCAGCACCTGGGATGGCGCTGGGGCTCGAAAGGCGTCTGTGGAATGAGTGGGGTCCCTCTGGCAGGTGGGGTCCCTCTGCGTGGCCTGCAGGGATCGGGCTGAAACCAGAAGTCCGACATCCCCCGAGGAGTCCCGGAGTTCAAGAGGGAACTCTGCAAAGTTGCTGTCGCTCGGCAGCTCCTGCTTTGAGCATCTGCCCCCTGGTGGTGAAGTGCACGTCATAGCTACTGGCCATCAGCAACAATTCAGCCAGACTGTTCACAGAAACAGTCGGTCATTTAGGCTTTTATATATATAGACTAGAGGCCCAGTACACAAAAATTTGTGCACTCGGTGGGGAGGGGTGGTCCCTCAGCCCGGCCTGTGCCCTCTCACAGTCTGGGACCCCTCGGGAGATAACAACCTGCTGGCTTAGGCCTGCTCCCGGGTGGCAGAGGGCAGGCCCAATCCCTAGGTGCAGACCCTGGTCGGGCTCAGAGCAGGGCTGATTGGGGAGTTGGGGCACTGCCCCCTGTCATGCACAGAGCAGGGCGGATCGGGAGGTTGCGATGCCACCCTCAGTCACGCTCAGGGTAGGGCCGATTGGGGGGTTGGGGCACCGCCCCCTGTCACACTCAAGGCAGGGTCGATGGGGAGGTTGCGGTGCTACCCCCTGTCACGCACAGAGCAGGGCCAATCGGGGTTGGGGCGCTGCCCCCTGTCACTCACAGAGCAGGGCCCATCAGGGGGGTTGGGGCTCCGTACCCTGTCACGCACAGAGCAGAGTCGATCAGGGGGTTGGGGAGCTCCCCCCCGCCCCCGTCACGCACAGAGCAGGGTCCATCAGGGGGTTGAGGAGCTCCCCCCGTCACTCACAGAATAGGGCTTATAGGGGAGTTGGGGCACCACCCCCTGTCACACACAGAGCAGGGCAGATCAGGGGGTTGGGGCACCGCACCCTGTCACACTCAGGGCAGGGCAGATGGGGAGGTTATGGCTCTACCCCGTCACACACAGAGCAGGGCCCGTGGGGGGCAGTTGGGACGCCGCCCTCTATCACCCACAGAGCAGGGCCGATCAGGGGTTGGGGCGCCGCCACTCTCACACTCAGGGCAGGGCTGATGGGGAGGTTATGGCTCTACCCCGTCACACACAAAGCAGGGCCCGTAGGGGCGGGGGGGGGGGGTTGGGGGGCCACACCCTGTCACACACAGAGCAGGGCCGATCAGAGGGTTGGGGCGCTGCACCCTGTCACACACAGAGCCGCAGGGCGATCATGGGGTAGGAAGCTCTCCCTATCAGGCACAGAGCAGGGCTGATCAGGGGTTTGGGGTGCCTTCCCCTGTCACGAACAGAGCAGGGCAGATAGGTTGTGGCCCCGCCCCCTGTCACACACAGAACCACAGGACGATCAGGGGGTTTGGGCGCTGCCCCCCTGTCACACTGATCCTGGTGCCGGGAGGCCTCGTGGCTCTGCTGATCCCGGTGCTGGGAGGCATATTACCCTTTTACTATATAGGATAGAGGCCTGGTGCACGGGTGGGGGGCGGCTGGTTTTCCCTGAAGGGTGTCCTGGATCAGGGTGGGGGTTCCGCTTGGGTGCCTGGCCAGCCTGGATGAGGGGATGATGGCTGTTTGCAGCTGGTCACACACCCTTCAGGGTGGGGGTCCCCACTGGGGTGCCTGGCCAGTCTGGGTGAGGGGCTGAGGGCTGTTTTCGGGCTCGTGGGTGACTGAAGCTCCTAACTGCTCCTTTTTTTCTTTTTTATTCTGGGCCAGTTTTAGCTCTGAGGCTTGGCTCCAGCTCTGAGGCCTCGCTGCTGAAAGCAGGTATCTGGTTTGTTTGGGTTCTATAATCAAAACACTGTTTTAACTCCAGCTCTGAGATCCTGGCTGGCTGAAAGCAGGTTTCTGGGGTTTTGTTTAGCTTCTATATTTGTAACAATGTTTCAAACTGCAAGCTCAGAGGCTGGCAGCGGCAGGCGGGGAACATTGGAGTCCTCTGTCACTGAAGCAAGCAAGCCTCATGTTCGCTTCAAGCTGCCTGGCTGCCGGCCGCCATCTTGGCTGGCAGTTAATTTGCATATCACCCTGATTAGCCAATGGGAAGGGTAGCGGATGTATGGCTAATTACCATGTTTCTCTTTTATTAGATAGGATAAGATTCATGTGCAAGTAAGATGTTTAAGGCAGTGCTAGCGAACCTTTTGAGCTCAGCATGTCAGCATTTTGAAAAACCCTAACTTAACTCTGGTGCCATGTCACATATAGAAATTTTTTGATATTTGCAACAATAGTAAAACAAAGACATATTTTTGATATTTAATTTATATATTTAAATGCCATTTAACAAAGAAAAATCAACCAAAAAAATGAGTTCGTGTGTCACCTCTGACACGCGTGTCATAGGTTCGCCATTACTGTTTTAAGGTCTGGTCTAATACAGACTTGTGTAGAAAGCATGGTTTATGAAGACTACCTACTGAATAACAGAATTTTAAAAAGTGCATGTTTGTTTTTAGATTCTTGATGGTTTTAAAGCAAATGGTATTTCCATAGATCAGGAGTCCTCAAACTACGGCCCCTGGGCCACATGCAAATACAAATATTGTATTTGTTCCCGTTTTGGTTTTTTTACTTCAAAATAAGATATGTGCAGTGTGCATAGGAATTTGTTCATAGTTTTTTTTTAAACTATAGTCCGGCCCTCCAACAGTCTGAGGGACAGTGAAGTGGCCCCCTGTTTAAAAAGTTTGAGGACCCCTGCCACAGATATTTCCTACCTCCATCCCAGTCTCCTTCCCCATTCCCTCCCATCTACATCTATTGTTTAAAATCTATTTTTATTGATTTCAGAGAGGAAGGGAGAGGGAGAGATAGAAACATCAATGATGAAAATCACTGATTGGCTGCTTCCTGCCCACCCCCTACTGGGGATCCAGCCCAATGGTGACTTCCTGGTTCATAGGTCCATGCTCCACCACTGAACCACACTGGCTGGGCTGCATCTAAAAGTTATATTGTCATTCTGGGAGTGGCTGGTAAGGAAGAGTGACTTGATGTACAAAGGAGACTTGATTGGATGATTTAAAACTGCACCATTTAAAGCAATGGTGGCACCAAGAAATGACTACAGGGTGTGGCTTTTGTCCCCTGCATTATCTCCACCAAAGTCCCTCTCAGAATACTTCAATATTAATCAATTCTAAGATAATTTTTTTCACATTTTAATATCTTTTAATGAGGATTTTATAATCCATGGTATGTCTTACTTTGGTTGGAAACATTTTTTTTGTTCTTTCTTAGTGGTACCTAAAATAATGACCTCTTAGAGCCTGAGAAATATCATGAGAAAAAAAAGTTCCCTACTCCCTTTCCCACCACATCACTGGCCCTAAGTTCATTTCCCCTAATCTAGAAATTCAGCAGGCGCTGATGCTTTACATTTTGCTTACTTTTTAGTCTAAACCACATGCTTCATTATGTTTATAATCTAAGGAAATCTGGGATTATTATAAAGCAATAGTTCAGACACAAAAATGTGATTCCTAACACCACTGTTCCTTGTCAGAAGTCATTCCTTTAATTACAGGTGGATCTATGTAGTCTGTGTTTTACCGAAGATCAAATCTATATGAGTAATTACGTTGTTTAGAACCGGAAGCAGCCCAGAGCCCAGGAGCTCAGGAGCACAGAGCTCACTAAGCGGACCCAAATGATGCCTGGCTTTTCTTTCCTCTCCCCACCCTCCCCCCAATCTTAAAACTGTGGTAAAATACACATAACAAAGTGTATCATCTTAACCAGTTCTAAGCGTGGTATGAAACACAGTCATTCATAATGTTGTGCAACCATCCCCACCATCCAGCTCCAGAACTCTTTTCAATTCGTAAAACGAACTGTTCTCATTAAATCCTAACTCCCCGTTCTCCCTCCCCCAGGAGCCGGCAACCACCATCCTATGGTCTCTATGGTTTTGACTCCTCTAGGTACCTCATACAAGTGGAGTCATAGGTATCTATCTTTTAGCTTCTGAGATCTCTGCGTTAAACCTTTGTGACCATCCCTTCTGGGTGTCTGAAAACAGTGGAAGCAGTAACCACCAACGCCCACAGAAAAGGTCCGGGCAATTCGGAAACCCAGCCGGCACAAATGAGGAACCCCGCGCCTTCCGCCAAAGAACTTACTCAACAGAAGGACTTGGCGAGAGCGAGCCCCTGTGCAGTGAGCGTTCAGGGCGGGCTTCTGTGTTGGGGGTTTCTGTGTTGGGGGGCGGTCTGTGACCTGGTTCTGAGCAGTGGAAGAGGCGGGGCCGCATAAGGACCTTTCCCTGCGGCTCTTCTTCAACACTAGATTCTGATGAGGGTTGAGACGCAGCTCGGGGTGAGGGTGAGGGTGAGGGTGGGCAGAGGGAAGGGGCGGTAGAAGCGACACAGGTGAAAAGCCCCCGAAGCAGACGCCATTCCCTCCCGCCTGGGTGGGGGCCTGGGACGTAACAGAGCTGGCGCTGGGCCTGAACGACGGCCTTGGGGCGGGGCCGAGGCATCAGTCTCTTACCGGCGGCTCCAGCAGGGCCTTTCCTAAGACTCTGTTGTCGTCCTCTTTGCCCTTCAGTTGCTCCTTCTCTTTCTCTCTCTCCCGCTCTTTTCTCTTTTCCTCCTCGTTACTTCTGCTCTTCTCCTCCTTCCCTTTTCCCTTCTCCTTTTCTTTATCCTTAGCTTTCTCCTTCTCCACCTCCTTCCTTTTCTCTTTTTCCTCCTTTCCTTTTTCCGGCTCCTTTCCCTTGTCTTTCTTCTTCACCTTCCCCCTCTCCATCTCCAGTCCCCGTTTCCTTCCCTCCTGCGCGCCCGCACGCTGGAGCAGCGGTCCTGAGTCTTGGCAGGTGTGGCCCTTGTGGGGGCGGGAGGGGGCGCGCAGCCAGAGTCGTAGATCCACGTAGATGTACGTGGCGTAGACCACACCCGCACTCACTACGGCGTGCGGGCTGCCACCCACCGGGCATCTGGTACACGCTCTCACCTCCCGGGGTGCGTGCTGCAGATTCGCCAAACCTGAGGGCGGAAGAAGGCGAAGGAGCTAGAGGGTCAGGTCCAGACAACCAGGGACCTGAAAGCCCTGCGTGGCAGGTTGGCAACGCAGGAAAATGCGTGTCCAGGTGCCACCCTTCGGGAGGGGCACTATGGCGCGATTCCCTTGAGCTGGGCAGGGTGCCTCAAAAAGGCCTTTTCCAAGCGGCCCAGATTTAAGCGTCTCTCCTCTCCCGAATGATCTCCACGCCCACCCAGCTCACGGGTCTCCCATCAGAAGAACCCCGAGGGGTTGGAGGGCTGAGGGTCCTCGGAGGATTCCCCGCCTATCCCGTTAGTAATCTCAAGCCTGCAAAGTGAAGTCGGGTATCTCTTCGCCCTCCAGCCTGTGCTAACTAAACTAGTAGAATCTAGAAATTGTCCAGGGTGCTCAAGGGAAAACAGGAACGTGAATGGTCCCGATTTCAAATTCTCGTATTTCGCTTTTAAAAATTCTTGATTAAATTAAGTCAGCCAGGATCATAGCTACTAGGAATGCAGGGTATTTAAAAAACTAGCCATAGCCAGTTTTGCTCAGTGTCGGCCTATTAAAGGGTCCCAGGTTCGATTCAGGCCAAGAGCACATGCCCCAGTTGCAGGTCCGACCCCCCCCCCCCCCCCCAGGGAGGCAGCCAATCAATGATTTTCATTATTGTTGTTTCTCTCTCCCTTCCTCTCTGAAAAAAATAAAAACTAAAGGAAAATCATTTTTTTTGGTTCCAAATGATCTATTATGCAACAAATTAGGAAGTCCATAGGGCTTTTCAAAGGTTGTGTAATGTTAACTGAGTATATGGATGGTTCTTTTGTTAAATTGGACCCTAGTATATTTCACAAACTAACAAAATTCTTTTACACAATAAACTGACTTTTCTTCATCAGATCTATATTTCAATTAGGCTTGTAAGGAACAATGAATGAATGGCAGGATCCAGAAGGCTTTAGTGTTGCAGCTGTGTTTGTTAGCAGTATTCAAGTAGTCTTAAAAATGCTGTACTTATAACTTAATGTTTGCTCCTCAACTTATTTATATACACTTATCAACATGATGGATTTTCAGTGAAGTTAAAGCTGGGGTCTCTTAACCCCATTAAATTAGCTTTGTAGCTTTGCAGAGAGGGGCTGGAGAGAATTTTATTTTATGTTTATATTTTTACTAGAGGCCCGATGCACGAATTCATGCAAGGGCCTTGGTCCAGGCCCCTGTCCGTGGCCAGGGGCCTCTGCCACCTCTGCCATGGCCGTCGCCCACTGCAGTTTTGTCTGGAAGGACGTCCGGAAGGATGTCCGGTCTAATTAGCATATTATACCTTTTTTTATTATAGATAGAAGATTGAAACATCAATGATGAGAGAGAATCATTGATCACCCACAACCCGGGCATGTGCCCTTGACCAGAATTGAACCCGGGACCCTTCAGTCCGCAGGCCAATGCTCTGAGATTTTAGATACTCAGTTTAAAAAATTCTCAGATATACCAACCAGGAAGTCCTCCATAAAATGTCAACACCCAAAACATCTCAATCCATACTCACTGCTAGAATATTTTATTTTAAAATGTGCCACAGTGAATGGATGTATCCATATTGGTTTTTATAAATGTAGACACACACATATATACAAAGTGTATATGTCATTGGTTAAAGAGCTGTCCAAAAGAGAAATAATTATCAGAAAGTTAATGTAGATGTTTACACTTAATTTGACAATAACTTCTTTGAACTGAGGTTTCAGTTGCTTAGTAATGACTGATAATAGCAATGACTGGCTAGAAAACCATGTATTTCACTCTGTATTTTGTGTCAAAATTTTAATGATAATTTTCACCAAAATTCGGTAGCTTAGTTAAACCTAAAAAGTGATTATCCTTCACCACAGAAATTTAATGGAATCCTAAATAACAAATTTACTAACAATTATTCTTGTAATGGGGTATATATTTAGAAGGAATGAATATCTGTCACTCTTACCAAAAGACTACTCTCTGAGAGCTCAAAAAGTATTATGCCATAATAAACCATTCATATGTAAGCCCGTCTCTTGTTTAGATGCCACTGCAAACTCTGATTATGTTAAACAGAAAGGCAGCACCACATTTCTTACTCTTGTAAAGGAGGAAAGCCTTTTAAAAAACTCTTCGAAGATGTCTCAGTATGTTTCATTATGTTCGGAGTCAAACACAGCAGCACTTTATTAACAAGGATGGAGTAATATGATCACAAGGAAATAAGTCTTAAATCTAAATTCAATGCTATCTGGGGTACATAAAATGAATACTAGTAGGAGTGGGCATCTGTCTCACAGCTGTTCAATGGGAAAGTGGCTTATAAGCAAGGAAGGACCAGAGCAACACCAACACTGCAGTCCTGACTGTACAACACTCCCTCACTCTGGGAAGGGTAATGTATAGTCACTGCCCTAACTAGAAAGAGGAGCCATCTGAGTATTTATTAATTGGGCCACATAGTACTGTTGAGTTTTAATACTGCCTGCTACTGAACTCTGCTACTGATTTCTTCTCTACACAGGAAGTCAATGTTCATGCTCTTGACAAGGGACATTAAATCTGACTGAGGCCATCCAAACCCATTTGACCTAAGAACACTGCTAAGGGTCAGCTTCTTACAACATTGGTTTTCTTTGAGTTCTTTATAGTGCTAAATAAGCACCATGTTATCGTAATCTGAAACTGATACGGGGGCAAAAGGAGTCCTAATTTATATACATGTGTATATATGCATACACACATACATACTTTTTATTACTATATATGTATATATATAATATCCCATATTCCAATATCACATAACAGAATTTATGATAAAAATTAATCAAGACATTTGGTTTTCCTGTGGCCACTCATGTAACTAAGTGAAGAACACCAGTGTACTAATAAGGTCCCTTTTTATCACATGATATTTCTAAGTAGATATTTGGAATGCTCAGAAGATTCCACTTTCAGTCTCCCAAGACCTTCTACGACATAATTTAAAGTGGGACTAGATAAGAACAAGTGTCTTTAGACTCTAGTTAAAACAGCAGAAGTAACTTCTGTTTATAACCTAGGAAACCTTAGATAACATGCCTTGTTTGTGAAACTGAAAACAAACACCTCCAGATCAGCACACAAAGAAACAGATATCAAGGTGGGTAAATACCAATTATTTTGAGTTCTCGTCATCTGTGCAAAGCTAGGTGGTACAAGGCTAAGTCTGACTAGGCAGAGTTTGAGGAAGATGTTTTCCTTTTTGATGCACAAGAAAATAATCTGATGAAAATGGGATGGGAGAGGGAGCAGCTCTGTGCTTCTTGCTGTGTTCTTTATTATGTTCCTAGTGTCACTAAGACTAGCTGAAAAATAGTCTGCAACAAGAATGTTCTAATCACCAGCCACCTTTTCCACCTTTCTTCTTTTTCTGTTGCTGTTTCTTTTTTGTTGCGGGAGCCCCTGCAGGTTTCTGGTGTCTTGGGGGTATGATATTACTTGTAGATGCAGATGCTGTTGCTGCACTGCCAGGTCTTGGGGAGGTGGGTGGGCTGCTCACAGTTTTACTGGCATCCCTGAAATCATCAGATCAGGAAAGTGTCAGTCATTCATACATTCAACAAAGAAAAAGGCTATAAAAACATACACACGTGAATTTCACTTTCCACCCCTAATAATCTCCCACACATTCTATTTATTTTAAAGTGGGTTCCCCAACTCTTTATCCCTTTTGAATAAAATGTTTAGTGCTTTATAATCAAAGGATAAGTAATATATGGTACATGCCAATTCTTAGAAGGCTTAGAAAATAAAGAAAAAATTTTAAATGACTTATAATCCTACCATATACAAATGAGTTATTTAGAAACATTTTTTTTTAAATCCTCACCCAAGGATATGTTTTTATGGATTTTAGAGAGAGAGAAAAGAAGAGGGGGGAAGAGAAACATTGCTTGGTAGCCTCCCATACATGCCCCAACTGGGGATCAAACCACTACCTAAGTATGTGCCCTGACTAGGAATCAAACCCACAATCTTTTGGTGTACTGGATGACGCTCCAACCAACTGAGCCAGGGCAAGTAACTTTTTTTTAAAGAGAGAGTAGAGAGAGGGATAGAGGAGGAGAAAGAGAGAAAAAGGAGAGAGAAACATCGACTGATTGGTTGCCTCAAGCATATCCCGATCGGGCCGGGGTTCAAAGTCTGCAACCCAGGTATAGGCTCTTGACTGGGAATCAAACCCTCAGGTGTGTGGGCTGACACTCTAACCACTGAGCAACACTAGCCAGGGCAGTAACATTTTTAATACTTCTTTTTAGTCACATTATTTACATCTTTGTTTATCTAGATATTTAGTTTATTGGATGACTCAGTGTATGTAGTCTACTTTTGAAGTTACTGGAATCCTATTATTTATGATACAATCTTAAAATCCAAGTATTTAGAATACAATCCAACCAGAAATATCACATTTTCTTTCCTTTACAATAGCGTATTGCAAAACATCAAAGATGCCCTAGCTGGTTTGGCTCAGTGGATGGAGCATCAGCCTGCAGACTGAAAGGTCCTGGTTCGATTCTGGTCAAGGGCACATGCCCAGGTTGCGGGCTCAATCCCCAGTGGAGAGCATGCAGGAGGCAGCCGATCAATGATTCTCTCATCATTAAGTTCTATCTCTCTCTCCTTCTCCCTTTCTCTCTGAAATAAAAATATATTTTAAAAAAAACCATCAAAGATATCTGACCGTACTTCTCATACTTAAAATACATTTTAAAATTCACACTAATGACCCTGAGTCAATTTCAGAAAGATCAACCTATGCTCTGAGTGACCTCAATCAGGAAGCAATGACTTACAGTTCAGATGAAGCTCCTGCAGTTGCTCCCTGGGTCCCCTTTCCAATCTGATCCTTCTTCTTACCCTTCTTTCTTCCCCGGTAGTAAGACCGTTCCCGCATTGGTAGCCATCTTTCTGGATCTGGAGTCACTTTTGGGTCATAATTCTTAGGCAGTTTTCCTGTGTAACAATTAATTGATGAAGAAATGAGGAATCTGTTCATAATGTTTTCAAGGTAATCATTTAAACATTATGTCCAAGACTTGTTACTAATGTTGTGGCCCTACCCCATAACAAAGAAAGAGAATTTCTGGAGAATGAGGCCCAGAAATCAGGATTTTAAAAGATTCCCAGGTGATTCTAATGTGCAGCCAAGGTTGAGAACCACTGCCCTGGATGGTTCAGGGCTGGACAATGACCTGTTAGCCCAATCAGAATAATGGGAAAGATTTGCCAAATGGGACCCTCTTTGTCCTGATGGATATAAATGACAAGTATGTTACTTTTTCCAACAAACATCACAAGACTCTAATGGGATCCAGTTTTATGCACAGCAGAACAAAAAGATACAACTACTGGATCAGCCAACTTTGATTTTGATGCTAACATCACTGACAGTTTCATAAACAGCAAATTTTCTTAGACCAGTTTGATGGACTTCTTTGGTATTTACAGCCAAAAGCAGCCTAATGTATCAGGGTTTACTACGAGCCAGACAGTGTTCTAAGAGCTTTACATGCAG